CCCCCCCCCGTCGACAAAAAATTGGGGAAGTTTTTGACACCAACCGAAGATGTGTTCGCACCACAGTCTGTTCAGTGGTTCGCACAACTGGTGGTTTTCTCTTAAAACCTTAAAATTTTACACAGGCTATGGTTCTCACTGCTAAAGGTGGTGTTACACGAGCAACAAAATTGCTGCAACTTGCAACAAAATCTGATTTCAACGCATGTTAATTGAAAATGTTTACACAAAAATTACAAATCACAAGGCAACATGTGTCGACATTTCTACTTAACATGCGTTGAAATCAGATTTTGTTGCAAGTTGCAGCGATTTTGTTGCTCGTATTACTCCAGCTTCAGCTGTTGACTTTCTTCCGCGCTTTTTTATGTGATGCAATGACGTAATCATTGGCAAATTAGCCTGCAAATGTCGCACAGGAATTCATTCTTTGTTCGAATTCCTCTGTTCGGATTCCGTGATACATAATTGAGCATAATTGCCGAATCTCAGTAAATATTGCCGGTTCCGTGTGAGATTCTACACGAATCTGGAAAAGGGAACGGTATACCGACGAAAAATTCCAATTTTCTGGATTGAACAGAAAATTCCAGATTTTCTCACAGAAAATTCCAGATTTTCTGCATGAACGCGAAGAGGAATTTCTAGAAAGTGGCGGATGTATTCTACGTATTAGCAATTAGCACGTGGTATTAGGAAGTCTATTACAAATGTCATCTTGCTTGTTTCATTATCAAGACATCAAACGTGGACACAATGTGCTAAGTCATGTTCTGTATTGCGAGACTGATCTTTCTTTGTTCTTTCTTTATGTCAGGATGCGTCTCAGGTTTGTCGATCATCATGTCGTATTTTAATAGTCACAAAAGCGCATTAATTCTTTTCTAATTGCCTTCGAAATTTATAAATGTAGCAACGGTTAATACAGCGTAGAGCGGGCAATATGTTTGTGTTGACTCTGTGAGTTTCGGTAAAGAAAACATAAATTGTTTACAGTAAAAACTTAGATTTTATATTAGTGAGATCATAAAATCAGTCACAGCAAGTCATGATGCGACTTTAATAATATGGCATGGAGAACACAGCAGTATAATAAATACAGGTGATTTTTGGTAGATTCTCATTAGCCCAAAGGGTCAAATACATATTAATAAACAAAGTGTATTATTTTTATGTGATTTGGGTGTTCAAATGCAATGTGCCTAACTAATTTCACTTTCTCTATATAAAAGGAAGAATAATTGGGATTATGCCTAAGTGGCTAATTAGTCATGGGTATTAACAGATTGATGAGACTATAGGTTTAAACAGAGCTCTGTTGGGGTGGTATCTACGTTTCAAAAGATGTTTCGTCGCTTGAAAATGTTGCTATATATGCTTTCTGCCTTTTTCATGTCACTGTCGCAATTCAGACAGAGATTGCATCAAATGTTGCAATTTTATTTTGTGTATGTCACCATCTGAAGGCAATTTATGCCAGCAAAGATTCACTATCTGCCTGTGATTTCTGTTAACTTATTAAACTCCAAAATGCACCCTACGTTTTTATATATTATTGGGGTGAATCACATTTTAATTAAACCATTGAGGCACCAGCTAGTACTTTTCCCTTGACGAGTAAAACAAATTAACTTGTTGCATTGTGCCCTGTGTTATTGTTTTATTCTGACTAATGCCAACAATTTTACTTGTGTTTATTACTTATGCAGTGTTTATTAATTGACAAATGAGTAGATATTCTGATTAACCCATTGAATACCAGCTAGCTGCCCTTGAGAGTGAAATGATCTGGCATAGACAGATTAAAATAATAAAGTACTAGGGTGCAATGCAATGTAATGGATTAATGGCTTGCATAAATGCCTATAGCAAAAGTAAGCTAATAATAAGAAAGCTTTCGATTGACAGGGATACAGTTGTCTACCCAAAAAATACAAGGAGAACTCTGATGTTTCAAGCGAAGGCGTTTCGTTGGGAAGTAAGTAGCCACTGTACTTCTACTAATTGCTCTCCTTGTATTTTTCAGGCAGTTCTATCTCTGTCAATCTGAAGTTTTCTTATAGCAAAAATAATATATTAAGAGCAGGATGCATGGGCAGTTTGTTTGGTTAACCATTGAGTGGCAGCACTCTTCACTTGATGAGTAAATTGTCTGGCATTAGACAGAGTAAAATACTAAAGTATTTAGGATGCATTGCCACTTAAAGGGTTATCAATCCTTAATGTGTTTCAAATTGTTTATAAAATAGTATCATTCATCAATTATTAGGTGGCAATCATACGTGTCAGTTGACAAGTAATGTTGGCAATAATTCTAATATTGCTGTGCTAGAACTTCATCAGCACCTCGTTATAAACTGTTCAACAACTCAAAAAAGTAGCAGTAATCTCACATTTGAATGGAAAAAGGATAATCGTGTGAAAAAGATCGGAGTACCATCCATAAATATATCAGATGTTGCATGGAATGACGCTGGAAGATATGAGTGCATCATTAAACAAAACCGAAGTTTGGAATCATGTGACTTCACTGTCATAGTTAAAAGTATGTAATTTATGTTCACATAATTTATTTAATCTGAAAAGTACCTGCAGTCCTGTCAACCTCAAAAATTCAAAACAGCGAGATTTTTTTCCAAATCTTCTTCTCGTCACTTTATTCCAAAATGTCTTTTTCAATTCTTCTTATTACATGTTCACACAGGGATGGATCATACTGGTGTGTGTGTGTGTGTGTGTGGGGGGGGGGGGTACACCAGCCCTGGCCATAGGGGGTGCAGGGGGAGTGCTATTTTTCATGACAAAGCAAAAAATATTGGAGACAAAATGAGATACAGTAATTTGAGTAATAACATGATGATAAAGACTTTGCATTAATTTTAGTCAATTGAGTTGATGGCTCTGACCAGCTCTCTTTCTGTTCTTATTACGTGTCCATACCACCTCAACCTTGCTTCCCTCATCTTCTCTACCATGTCTACCACCCCACATCTTCTGATCTCTTCATTCCATAATGTCTCTGACCAGCTCTCCTTCATCTCTTCTTATTACATGTCCATACCATCTCAACCTTGCTTCCCTCACCTTCTCTGCAATGTCTACCACCCCACATCTTCTGATCTCTTCATTCCATAATGTCTCTGACCAGCTCTCCTTCATCTCTTCTTATTACATGTCCATACCATCTCAACCTTGCTTCCCTCACCTTCTCTGCAATGTCTACCACCCCACATCTTCTTCTGATCTCTTCATTCCATAATGTCTCTGACCAGCTCTCCTTCATCTCTTCTTATTACGTGTCCATACCATCTCAACCTTGCTTCCCTCACCTTCTCGGCAATGTCTACCACCTCACATCTTCTTCTGATCTCTTCGTTCCATAATGTCTCTGACCAGCTCTCCTTCATCTCTTATTACGTGTCCATACCATCTCAACCTTGCTTCCCTCACCTTCTCTGCAATGTCTACCACCCCACATCTTCTTCTGATCTCTTCATTCCATAATGTCTCTGACCAGTTCTCCTTCATTTCTTCTTATTACGTGTCCATACTATCTCAACCTTGCTTCCCTCACCTTCTCTGCAATGTCTACCACCCCACATCTTCTTCTGATTTCTTCATTCCATAATGTCTCTGACCAGCTCTTCTTCATCTCTTCTTATTATGTGTCCATACCATCTCAACCTTGCTTCCCTCACCTTCTCTGCAATGTCTACCACCTCACATCTTCTTCTGATCTCTTCATTCCATAATGTCTCTGACCAGCTCTCCTTCATCTCTTCTTATTATGTGTCCATACCATCTCAACCTTGCTTCCCTCATCTTCTCTGCAATGTCTAATACGTTATGTCACCTTTATTTAAAATGTAGTTTCTTTTATTTTTCACAGCTTTGCCACATGTGACAATAGTTGGAGTCGACGTATTAACAAATACTTTGATTGTGCCGTGCCTGGTAACAGGTTACTTCAAACCAAACAAAGTTATTTGGTACAAAAATAATAAGCAAATCTTTCCAAATGACACAGGCTACTTTGTAAAAAACCTAAACAAAAACTATTTTCTGTTTGTATCGAAGCTCCAGAGAAGTCACGCAAATTTAAATGACTCTGGAAACTACTCGTGTGAGGCGAGGAATATATATGGAACGTCGCCAAGAACATATCACTACATATCAAAGTGTTTTATTAATAGTAAGTACACACGTGGAAACGCACAAGTTGTAACAAACCTGCAGCAAACTTGTAGTAATGCTGTTCCAACAACTTGTCAACAGGATGTGTTCGTACTGCTTGTTCCCAACTTGTTGACAAGTTGACGGTTGTTGACAAGTTGTCAACGGCTTGTTTAAAACTTTTGTTACAAGTTGTTCAAGCAACTTGTTATTGTCCTGGAATTCAACAAGTTGTGAGTGATAACCTTGTAGCAACTTGATAAATAACAGCATTGTTACAACTTGTTGTAAAGCTTGCTACAAGCTTGTTGCGAATATATATATATATATCTTGTTGACAAGTTGTGAGATTTTTATATGTGTATACTACGTGTAACTATATCAGTTCTTTTTTTCCAATAGGCTTTGTGCTTGAGAAATGCGCCGAATTTAAAAACAAGACAAGAAAAATTGATGTGACGATCAGCTTGGGGTCTTCAACGTCATTACTGTGCGAAGTAATGTATTTTACCATCTTTCCTTCATTCTTTAAATTCTTGAAAATAGTCAACCAGAAGTTCGTTAATATTGGCGGTAACGATACTAAAAACATTTTAAAAAAAGAAAACAAAATAAGCAACATAGTCAAGTTGATAAATTATACAATCGTGAATGCATCAAGAAATGATACTGGCACATACAAGTGTGATTTTATTAATAAGAACGTCTTCTTTTGCCCGAAGAATCTTTATAAAGTCTTCAATGTGAAAGGTATGCTATATATATATATATCATAGAATGACATAGTCCGGCAAGCAGGGAAACGTCATCCCAGTTGTTACCATCTTGTAACCAACGGACTCGCAACAAGTTGTTTCAAGTTCCAACAAGTCTGATATCGTCTGCACGTAACAAGTTGTTAACAAGTTGATAACAACAAGCTCGTAGCAACTTGTTACGAACAGCCTGTATGAGTCTTGTTGGAACAACTTGTAGCAAGTCTGTTACCGTCATCAACCTTGTATAAACAAGGCTATTACTTAGCTCATTTTTTCTCTCACTGGTATCTGCAGTCATCGCTTCTTCACCATTGAATAAAAAGAAACTAAATCTGGTCGTGGTCATTGCTGTGAGTGTCACGGGAGCTTTGTCTGGTGTGGCTTTAATTCTGTACGTTTATCACTTGCGGAGGAAATCGAAGGCACGATTGTATGGTAAGATAACATATCCTGAAATTAAAATGTGATGTTAAAATGATTTCACTTTCGGCAACGATGAAGTCATTGCATGTGTTGTCTCTTGCGCCAGCACCGCGATCAGTAAATTTGGCCACGTTGCTTTGCCCTGTGCGAGAAAGAATGATGGCATGGATCGCGCTATTCACCGGAAATCGAGCGTGGTCATGCGCTGTTATCATCGCGCGTTTAATTTAAGTCCCATAAATTATGTATGTCTCTCTATCTAGATATCTGTCCGGATGATCAACCAGAGTTACGTTGGGATGTGTTCGTCTCCTACAGCAGTCACGATTTTGTTTGGGTCAATGAGCTCTGCCAAATGTTAGAACAACCTCCCTTTAATCTGATCGTGTGTTTACACCAAAGGGATTGGGAGCTAGGCCGCAGTCTGCAAGACAATATGGTAGATTCGATCTATTGCAGTCATAAGACCTTGATTATTGTATCAAAACACTATTTGCAAAGCGAATATTGTATGCAGGAACTACAGCTTGCAATGCACAGTGAAATAGCTTCGGAACATGTGCGGAAAGACAGAATAGTTCTGATCAAGATCGACGATGTTTCTACACAACGCTTGCCGAGAGTTTTAAGACAAAAATCCTACCTTGATAGTTCTGACCCCGAGCATGCGAAACATTTTAAAACTAATCTGTTGCGTGTTTTGCCAAGACGAGAATTGATGGAAGAAGGACCGTTTGAAGAAGAAGACAAACAAATTTCGGATGACGCCAGTGGCAGCAGTCGCGAAATGAGATTACACGAATTGCCAGTTGTTTAAGAGAAAACTCCAGAGAAATATTGAAGTCATTCCAACCTGTGTGTTCCACTCCACATGTAAAAACGCACAAGTTGTTACAGGTCTGCAGACTCTGCAAACAAATCTGTTCACAAGCTATCGACAAGCACGTCAAGTTGTGTTCGCACAGCTTGTTTCCAGTTGTTGGAATAAGTTTGGAACAAACTGTTAACAACTTAGAGCAAGCTTGATGGTATTATCAGACTTGTTATACAAGGTTGTTCTAACAAGTATGATACAGTCATGATATAACAAGAATGTTACAAAGTTGACGACACAAGGTTGTAAAAATATTGTTATAAAATGCTTATTTTCACGTCTTCAATAGTACGCTAGCATTTCAAGCCGTGACAAGTTTTTCCACCATGACTTAAATTGCACTTTATTATGCCCTAATTACCATTTTACTTTGTCTATAACACCAGATGATTTTACTTATCAAGGGCAGGGAGAGCTCTGATGCTGAATGGGTTGAATTTAATGTTTTAGTTAAATATAATGGAGTGTTATTGCCAACTAATGCTAAATTTAATGGAGGTTTAGCTAACTTTCTGAAATATGTTCATCTTAAGGGCCATGTTTATTGGGATGACAGTTCACAAGAGGATATCACAGTTAATGTTGGACAACACTTTTCAATCGCTTGTGTGTTGCGAACTGTAAATTTAAACATTAAGCAATGTTTTCAATTTGGTGTGATTCATCACAGCCGAAGCTATGTGAGACATGCGTCAATAACGTCGCCATCGACAAACAAAACTCTTGCAGACACTCATTATCGGATTAGGTATTGGTATAATATTACTAACGCACACATCAATGACACTGGTATTTACACATGCTATTATAACATCAGAAACTGCATAATAACGTCAGACAATTCTCTGTGTCAAAAGCCAGTTAAACACTTCAGTCTTCGTGTTAGAGGTGAGTTTGCTTTCTTTGACCCTTTTTAACGCAACATAACATAAACCTCCGAATACAATAAATATTAAAGTTTGTTTGTTCACTGCAACCAGGTATATCGATCATGTTTTGCTCGCTACTCTGGTGTAAATAAATGATTACAAAGCCCAGTCGAATTGTAATGAAGACCCAACGTTTCGACTAGTAATATTAAGGTTACCTTAAAACCCTATTTGACTTTAGGCCATATTTTCGCAAAGCCAAAAGATCCTGTTGAAAAAAATCAGAAAACTTGTGCTATATATTCTAGACCATGCGGTGATTGCTACCTATTTAGGTAGTCCAAGAACCAAAAAGTGGTACGGTAGCAAAAATTGAGCGTAGTGTAAACGGGGCTTAGCTAAATAGGTAGTCCAAGAACCAAAAAAGTGGTACGGGTACCAATTTTATCCGTGCCGTACCAAAAATTGAGCGTAGTGTAAATGGGGCTTAAATGAACTTGCTGTTTTAAAACTGCAATGCATGATATTCTTTTGGCACAAGAAAGAAAATATGAAACGAAAACGTTCAACGAAAATTTTGCCAAGAAAGTTCCAACCTGCCGTTCCCGGAAACGTGAAGCTTATAAACTCCCTAATAATAATATTTATTGTACTTGTAAATTATACTGTGAATGAAAAGAAAGACATTACAGTATTATAACATATTATAACACTGTAATGTAATTACCGTCATTTGCCTGAGCTGTTGGAATCCCTGTCGTTTCTTCTTCGTTAATAAATACCTGTTCCAGGAGCGATAATTCAAAATTTTATTCGTACTTGACTGGTACGCCAATGATTATTCAGCTGTGTGCTTGCGCAAACTCAGTACTCAATGTGTACTTAGTCATTAAAATAAGGTTCATAAAGTACAGGTTTCTGAAAAGTATGACTACGAGTTAGAAAAAGAGGCATAATTGTCAATTGCATCTACAAACAATCGATGTTTCTTAAGGATGATTTCCTCTGTTGCGTTTTTCATACGTACGTACACGCACGTAAAACTTTAAATCCATTTAAATGTTACTTATGAAATAACCAGATAAATAAAGCAACACAATTTAGTGTTCCGCAAGTTTTAGTATGCATTTGTTATCTTATTTGTAAAATATTTAAAAAATAGAAGGATTCAAAGTTTTACGTGCATGTACGTGCGTACGAAAAACGCAACAGTGGAAATCAGCCTTTAGTGCCATCAATCCAATCATGTTTCATGGCAAGCATGATAAACCAACTAAGTGACGGTATTGAATACTTTGGGCTAGGAAAGGTCAGATAGCAAGAGTTCCACGTACCTACGTGACTGAAAACAAAGAAGTACCTGACTGTAATGTTGGCGTGGCTCTGGTACGTAAGCACGCGAAGTTTCGCACCCACACGGAGGCGTGCTCAGTAGAACTAACAGTTGAACAACTTTTATGGGTGGAAATTTCTAGCGAAAGATAATCGCAGGGTTCTATTCCTTCCAGAGGAACTATACTTGCATTTTTCACATCTGCTCGCGGTTAGATCTAAAATTAACAAAATTCAAATTGTTTAAACAGAATGCTTAAAATCTTGACATTCTTCCGTTAACTTTTCTTCAATCTAGGACCAGCATTAACAGACACTTATGAAAGAAATATAAAGATCGCCATCGCCGTGTCTTGTGCGAGTTTTGTAGTGGGACTGATTATCGTTCTCTCTATATTTTGTTTACGAAAGAAGAAATTGAAGTCGCAACGTCTTTATGGTATGTGTGCAGCATTAGAGTTTTAAAACGACAGGCGTTGCTTACCTGTTGTGTTACACATGCAAAACTCTCGCATCTTGTAGTAAGTCTGCCAACAAGCCATCAACAAGTTGTGTTCGCACGGCTTGTTCCGAGTTGTCAACAAGTTTGGAACAATCTGTTAACAATTTGTAATAACCTTGTTGATATTATTAGACTTGTTTCAAGGTTGTTCCAACAAGTCCGATACAGTCATGATATAAGAATATTGTTACAACCTTGTGTCGTCAACCTTGTAACATTCTTGTTATATCATGACTGTATCAGACTTGTTAGAACAACCTTGTAACAAGTCTGATAATGCCATCAAGCTTGTTACAAGTTTGTTAACAGCTTGTTTCAAACTTGTTGCAACAACTGGGAACAACTTGTCGACAGCTTGTGAACAGGTTTGTAACATCTTGTGCGTTATTACGTGTGTACCACAGAGTCATTCGTGCTGTATACATTACAATTTACAAGCCAAACTTATGAAATATTTTGTATAGAGAGTGAGCCTGAACTCCGTTGGGATGTGTTTGTCTCGTACAGTAGTAAAGATTTTGATTGGGTCAAAGAGCTCCGCAACACGTTAGAAAAACCTCCGTTTAACCTGATTGTGTGTTTACATCAGCGAGATTGGGAAGTGGGCAGAACCATACTGGACAATATGTATTAGTCTATATACTGCAGTAATAAAACTTTACTTATTGTTTCAAAAAGTTACCTGGAAAGCTCATTTTGTATTGAGGAACTTAACATTGCAATTGGCTGTGAAACACAGAAACTACTAAAAGATAAAGTTATTGTAATCAAACTCGACGATGTCTCGCTCAAAAAACTTCCAAAAACTTTAAGACAGAAATCCTATCTCGATTTCTCAAATGACGAGCAACGCAAGCATTACAAAACTAAACTTCTCAAAGCTTTGCCAAAACGAGACTTGGAGGAACCGTCTGAAGGGTCTGGGAACGAGGTGCAGTCTGAGGGGTCTGGGGACGAGGTGCAGTCTGAGGAATCTGTGGACGACGCAGTTTAACGAGTCTGGGGACGAGAATATGGAGCGTGTGCCGTTACATGAAATTCAAAATGTTTGAGAACCAGGATCAGTTTAAAACAACAACATTTGGGCATTCCGAAACGTCGAAATTCTCCTTGTTTTTGTCAGGCATCCCTACCAGCCGACGGTATTATTGGTGGCACATGCCTTACAAGATTGAGTACTGTGAAACATCTTTATAATGGTTGTTTCAACTTTGCAGGTGCTCCCTGTCTGCAGATTTAGTGAGTGAATGAGGTGAATCTAGACAAGATCGAGCAGCATGCGGTGTGTTTTGCTACAATCTCGGACAAAACCCTTGAGAGATCGTTCCAGCCAATATTGCAAGGTTAACGCACATTGACAAAACAAACTTCGTCTCCTCCTCTCCCCCCGTTCAATGTTGTAGAGAACGCCGAAACAACTTTTGGTAAAGCCTGGTTCACATATGCCTGCGGCATGCCTGCGACTGTATCATTATGCCTCTACTTGCCGCCGAAATACCGGCAAAGTTGAACTCAACTCAACTTTCCCGGCCTACCGCCGATGTAACTGTGGCACTGGAGGCAATCGGTGAACAAATATTCACATGCATAATTTACGTTTTAAGCTACACCGACATCGTCGCCGGTACGTCGCAGGCACGTCGCAGGCATATATGTGAACCAGACTTAATTTACCATGCCACAAACTCAATGTTGAGTTGGGGAGCGGGAGCTAAGGAGCGCAACATGATTTAGCATGGAATTTCTCACAAGGGGTAGGGGGATTTTGTATAGAGGGAAAGTAAATGTTTTGGGGGGTCCAAATATACACGTAACAGTCAGTAGAGGGTCTGGGATACTATCTTCATCATCATAGTGACTAGTTGTTTATACAGATTTTTTATACAAACTATATATATGGAAATAATCTTTCTTCGCGCAAAAATGCGCAATTTGTTCCAGATCTGTAAAAAAGTTCAGTTGCAACAAGGTTGTTGTGAAGCCGATATCAGGATGTGTTCGCACTGCTTGTTCCCAGTTGTTGTGACAAGTCTGGAACAAGTTGTTATCACATTGTTACAAGGTTGATGACAGTAACAGACTTGCTACAAGTTGTTCCAACAAGGCTAGTACAGGCTGTTCGTAACAAGTTGCTACGAGCTTGTTGGTCATCAACTTGTTAACAATCTGTTACATGAAGACGATATCAGACTTGTTGGAACAACTTGTTGCGAGTTTCTACTTAACATGCGTTGAAATCAGATTTTGTTGCAAGTTGCAGCAATTTTGTTGTTTGTATTTTAATCTTCCGCGCTTTTTTACGTGATGCAATGACGTAATCATTGGCAAATTAGCCTGCAAATGTCGCACAGGAATTCATTCTTTGTTCGGATTCCGTGATACATAATTGAGCATAATTACCGAATCTGAGCAAATATTGCCGGTTCCGTGTGAGATTCTCCACGAATCTGGAAAAGGGAACGGATAAACCGAAGAAAAATTCCGATTTTCTGCATTGAACATAAAATTCCAGATTTTCTCACAGAAAATTCCAGATTTTCTGCATGAACGCGAAGAGGAATTTCTAGAAAGTGGCGGATGTTTATTCTACGTATTAGGAAGTCTATTACAAATGTCATCTTGCTTGTTTCATTATCAAGACATCAAACGTGGACACAATGTGCTAAGTCATGTTCTGTATTGCGAGACTAATCTTTCTTTGTTCTTTCTTTATGTCAGGATGCGTCTCAGGTTTGTCGATCATCATGTCGTATTTTAATAGTCACAACAGCGTATTACGTATTGTTTTCTAATTGCCTTCGAAATTTATAAATGTAGCAACGGTTAATAACAGCGTAGAGCGGGCAATATGTTTGTGTTGACTCTGTGAATTAATTTCGGTGAAGAAAATATAAATTGTTTACAGTAAAAACTTCGATTTTATATTAGTGAGATCATAAAATCAGTCACAGCCATGCAGTCATGATGTGATTTTAATAATATGGCATGGAGAACACAGCAGTATAATAAATACAGGTGATTTTTGGTAGATTCTCATTAGCCCAAAGGGTCAAATACATATTAATAAACAAAGTGTATTATTTTTATGTGATTTGGGTGTTCAAATGCAATGTGCCTAACTAATTTCACTCTCTCTATATATTAAAAAGGAAGAATAATTGGGATTATGCCTAAGTGGCTAAGTCATGGGTATTAACAGATTGATGAGACTATAGGTTTATAAACAGAGCTCTGTTAGGCTGGTATGTACGTTTCAAAAGATGTTTCGTCGCTTGAAAATGTTGCTATATATGCTTTCTGCCTTTTTCATGTCACTGTCACAATTCAGACAGAGATTTGCATCAAATGTTGCAATTTTATTTTGTGTATGTCACTATCTGAAGGCAATTTATGCCAGCAAAGATTCACTATCTGCCTGTGATTTCTGTTAACTCATTAAACTCCAAACTACACCCTACGTTTTTATATATTATTGGGGTGAATCACATTTTAATTAGTGAATTAACCAACCATTGAGGCACCGGCTAGTACTTTTTCCTTGACAAGTAAAACAAATTAACTTATTGCATTGTGCCCTGTGTTATTGTTTTACTCTGACTAATGCCAACAATTTTACTTGTCAAGGGGAGAGCACTAGCCTTCAATGTGTTAATATGTGTTTATTAATTGACAAATGGGTAGATATTCTGATTAACCCATTGAATACCAGCTAGCTGCCCTTGATGAGTGAAATGATCTGGCATAGACAGTAAAATAATAAAGTAGGGTGCAATGCAATGTAATGGATTAATGGTTAAAAACTTGCATAAATGCCTATAGCAAAAGTAAGCTTTTGATTGACAGGGATACAGTTGTCTACCTAAAAAATACAAGGAGAACTCCGACGTTTCAAGCGATTAGCCACTGTACTTCTACTAATTGCTCTCCTTGTATTTTTCAGGTAGTTGTATCTCTGTCAATCTGAAGTTTTCTTATAGCAAAAATAATATATTAAGAGCAGGATGCATGGGCAGTTTGTTTGGTTAACCATTGAGTGGCAGCACCCTTCACTTGATGAGTATAGTCTGGCATTATAGACAGAGTAAAATACTAAAGTATTTAGGGTGCATTGCCACTTAAAGGGTTATTAATCCTTAATGTGTTTCAAATTGTTTATAAAATAATATCATTCATCAATTATTAGGTGGCAATCATAGGTGTCAGTTGACAAGTAATGTTGGCAATAATTCTAATATTGCTGTGCTAGAACTTCATCAGCACCTCGTTATAAACTGTTCAACAACTCAAAAAAGTAGCAGTAATCTCACATTTGAATGGAATAAGGATAGGCCGTATCGTGTGAAAAAGATCGGAGTACCATCCATAAATATATCAGATGTTGCATGGAATGACGCTGGAAGATATGAGTGTATCATTAAACAAAACCGAAGTTTGGAATCATGTGACTTCACTGTCATAGTTAAAAGTATGTAATTTATGTTCGCATAATTTACTTAATCTGAAAAGTACCTGCAGTCCTGTCAACCTCAAAAATTCAAAACAGAGAGATTTTTTCCCAAATCTTCTCGTCACTTCATTCCAAAATGTCTTTTTCAATTCTTCTTATTACATGTTCACACAGGGATGGATCATACTGGGGTGTGTGGGGGGGGGGGTACACCAGCCCTGGCCATAGGGGGTGCAGGGGGAGTGCTATTTTTCATGACAAAGCAAAAAATATTGGAGACAAAATGAGATACAGTAATTTGAGTAATAACATGATGATAAATGAACTGTAAACAACAATTACAATTGAAATACAGTAGTCAAGCAAGACTTAAAGTTTGCATTAGTCAATCAGGTTGATGGGCCTAAATTGTTTCCCTCCCCCTTCTCTGCAATGTCTACCACCCTACATCTTCTTCTGATCTCTTCATTCCATAATGTCTTTGACCAGCTCTCCTTCATCTCTTATTATGTGTCCATACCATCTCAACCTTGCTTCCCTCGCCTTCTCTGCAATGTCTATCACCCCACATCTTCTTCTGATCTCTTCATTCCATAATGTCTCTGACTACCTCTCCTTCATCTCTTCTTATTACGTGACCATACCATCTCAACCTTGCTTCCCTCGTTTTCTCTGCAATGTCTACCACCCCACATCTTCTTCTGATCTCTTCATTCCATAATGTCCCTGACCAACTCTCCTTCATCTCTTATTATGTGTCCATACCATCTCAACCTTGCTACCCTTGCCTTCTCTGCAATGTCTACCTCCCCACATCTTCTTCTGATCTCTTCATTCCATAATGTCTCTGACCAGCTCTCCTTCATCTCTTCTTATTACGTGTCCATACCTGCCTCGTCCCCAGGCGCTAATTAAAAGTTTCATGCGAGTCACTATATGAAAGATTTACATGAAGTAGTGCATCGCGATGAACAAGCGCAGGGGGTTCGCTCATATCCCACTCCCCTTTGCGCGCCTAGAATGTGACGCACTACTTCATGTAAACCTTTCATATAGTGACTCGCATGAATTTTTTTATTAGCGCCTGGGGACGAGGCAGTGTCCATACCATCTCAACTTTGCTTCCCTCACCTTCTCTGCAATGTCTAATAAGTTATGTCTTTAAAATGTAGTTTCTTTTATTTTTCACAGCTTTGCCACATGTGACAATACAACGACCCAATGTATTAACAAATACTATGATTGTGCCGTGCCTGGTAACAGGTTACTTCAAACCAAACAAAGTTATTTGGTACAAAAATAATAAGCAAATCTTTCCAAATGACACAGGCTACTTTGTAGAAAACCTAAACAAAAACGATTTTCTGTTTGTATCGGATCTCCAGAGAAGTCACGCAAATTTAAATGACTCTGGAAACTACTCATGTGAGGCGAGGAATATATATGGAACGTCGCCAAGAACATATCACTACATATCAAAGTTTTTTATTAATAGTAAGTACACATGTAAAAACGCACAAGTTGTAACAAACCTGCAGCAGACTTGTAGCAATGCTGTTCCAACAACTTGTCAACAGGATGTGTTCGTACTGCTTGTTCCCAATTTGTTGACAAGTTGACGCTTGTTGACAAGTTGTCAACGGCTTGTTTAAAACTTTTGTTACAAGTTGTTCCAGCAACTTGTTATTGTCCTGGAATTCAACAAGTTGTGAGTGATAACCTTGTAGCAACTTGATAAATAACAGCATTGTTACAACTTGTTGTAAAGCTTGCTACAAGCTTGTTGCGAATATATATATATATATATCTTGTTGACAAGTTGTGAGATTTTTATGTGTGTAATGTGTATACTACGTGTAACAATATCAGTTCTTTTTTCCCAATAGGCTTTGTGCATGAGAAATGCGCCGAATTTAAAAACAAGACAAGACAAATTGATGTGACGATCAGCTTGGGGTCTTCAACGTCATTACTGTGCGAAGTAATGTATTTTACCATCTTTCCTTCATACTTTAACTTCTTGAAAATAGTCGACCAGAAGTTCGTTAATATTGGCGGTAACGGTACTAAAAACATTTTTAAAATAGAAAACAAAATAAGCAACATAGTCAAGTTGATAAATTATACAATCGTGAATGCATCAAGAAATGATACTGGCACATACAAGTGTGATTTTATTCCTGAGAACGACTTCTTTTGCCCGAAGAATCTTCATAAAGTCTTCAATGTGAAAGGTATGCTATATATATATATATATATATATATATATATATATATATATATATATATATATATATATATATATATATATATATATATATATATATATATATATATATATATATATATATATATATCACAAGTTTTTTAACGTATAGTGAAGAGAGTGCTCAATACATAAAATTATGTAGAGCGAATGTAATTACTATTCTTACTTAAAATGTTTTTTTGTCTCTACTCCGAGTTTCACGCATCACTGCGATCATCAGGAGACATTGTTCTCAAATACCGTTTGATTTTCGTTGTTTGATGGCGTGACTGCGCGCGCGAGGATTGTTGATGTTGCTTACACGCGCGCAGACTACATTACCCGCTAAAACTTGTTTCTGGTGCACGCACTTCGAGAAGATTTACGATTTTTTGTTCAGTAGATTTTCGTCGCGAGATTTTAAAATCAGCAGCTTCTCTTGCAAGCATAGGTTGCATCTTGGTCATCCGTTTGTGTATGGGACAGCCTTCTTAAGAATGGACCAAGTGGTGTTGTAAGGTCTACCGCTTCTCTTCAATTTCCAAATATGCTTCGATAGCTCCGTTTCGTTCGCGTATCTCAGAAGCTCGAATGATTTTTTATGGTTTCTGTACCTGTCTTTGAATTCCCCATGCAGCTGTTACCCCAATATACCGCTTCGTTTCACCGTTGTCGTGACTCTTTACTTCGGCTTGGTACACGATAGCCTGGGTCAGACATTTCTTCTGGAGGGAGCATTCATCTTTCTTGCAGCAGTTACAGTTAATGTTGCGGTGGGTTCGGTCGATCTAATTCTCGTGTTGTGGTTAGAAATGGTTGTCTTGACATTCTTCATGCAGCTGTAACTAATTTTGATTCAATTGTGGTTAAAGATCTTATGTAGACGGCTTGATTTAGGGAAATGTTTGTCGATAAGTTGAAGAAAGGTTTTTCCAATGTTTGTTGCCACGTTTTTGCTGTAAGGTGGGGTAAACCATAGTATGTTTCTGTATCTTTTGCGTTTCGGTTGGCTGGACGTACAACTCTCAGTGTTGGGGTCGTCAATTTTACTTGAAGGCGTGGCATTGTATTGTAAATTAAAATCATAATTACTACGACGTAATGCATTCTCGTAGGTTGGTGCTGATGAATTGAAGGTTTGCTGATCAGAGAATAAATTTGATATACTGTGAATTATTGATTTAGGTTGTTGTCTAATTATGGCTGGGCGGTGGTTCTAGCGACTGTCAATGTAAATGAGTTGATTATTGGGTTTCCTATATGGTTGGCAGCGTTCCTCTGTGAGGTTGAATGTGACGTCTAGAAAGTTGACAGATTGGTGGTTTACTTGGGCCGTGATTTTCAAGTTGAACTGTTCGAATAATGTATGCAACTTTCCCGTACCTTATCTGCAATGCGCGGCCCGCTCTTTCCTTTGACTAAAACAAGTCCGTCATCCCGATACAAACCAAGATGTTCTTTCCCAAACTCATTGGTAAGGACATTTAGCATATATAAGCCGACAAGATCGCATATTTCAGCGCCGTCATAACTGCCCAACGTTACATCAATAAGCGATTTAGAGTTTTGTTTAATCCATGTATCGTTGTTGCTGAACAGAAATGAGGTACGTGCGTGTTTGATAATCTTATCTTGTTGATCAGTGATTGGTGTGATAGTCCGAGCCCAGCAGATTGCTTTATCCAGCAATTCTAATTCCGTGATAGATGGATAGAATTCCGCGATGTCAAAAGAAATAAAGATGTGGTTAGGTTTATCGTTAATGGTTTTGAACCAGTCGATCACTGATTGGGAATTTCTCCATTGGTTGACGCCTGTCCGTTCCCTGATATTGTTATTGATTTATTTTTTTTAATTAATATTTAATTTCAGGAAGCTTTCTCACAAAGTGATTTTCAGAAAGGTCCTGAACTAAATAAACTATTTTACAAGGAAGACATGCATATACAACATAACTATGAAAAATATTAAAAAATTATACGAGGGAAAGTTCAAAGATTGCTAAAAGTTTCTCTTAAATGTAGAAATACTAGTAGATAGTTTTATCTTTCTGTCCAAGTTGTTCCAGTCTGTTATGGCCTGATAAGCGAGTCTTTGCTTTCCCCAATTCCTTGACACTTTAGGTGG